GACAGGGCAGATATCTTATAACGCGAAGCGGGGTGGTTGTTTTTCCGGGAGAATTTCCCGGCAGACCCCTTAAAACGACCCGCCTTAAAAGCACATTATCTTAAGCAACGAGCTTTATAAGATAGCAGTGTGGTAAAGCGTTGGCCCAGCAGGGGGAGGCCGTGAATTGCCCTCCAAACAAAAATAATATGGGAACAAGTAACAGCTTTATTCCATGCTGAAAAAAGAAAGAAAACACAACGTTTCAGCTGTGGAGCCTTTTTCAGGCGTCAATAAAAAAAACAATAGCTGAGAAATATCATTACCGAACTGTTCCAAAAATGCAAGTGTCTTTCAATTATCAAAATCCTCCAGCTGTATATTTTAAACGTGTCTAAAATACTTTTTTATAGAATACGGCATACAATACTTACATGAAATTAATTCGTAGCGATTATTCTATTCTAGCTTTCCTGGCGTATTTCATTTTTGAGATTAATAATGTATTTTTAATACACTTTGTAATCTGGAGTCGTTCTTTGAAGATGCTTTTTTAAATGTGTTCAATTATAGACAACTAGTCCGGTTTGAAAGAGCAAGAAAAACTCTTATAAAACTAATAGGCCATAGAAAAAAAGACTATCTCAGTACTCATTCTGCGCCTCTTATTCTTAGTTTATAGACAGAAAGGACCATTTGTTTTATACAAACAGTTCGGAACTGAATGTGGTCATGTAGTCGACGGTCTCGAGGTTTCAAAACAGATGGATAAGTGCAACTCTTGGAATAATAACAATAATAATATTTTAAATATTAGTTTTATTGTACCAACTTTGCTCTAAGGATCATAACGTTTTCCTAAGAAAATTGTCCCCCTACGCCGCGAAGGATTACACTGCCGAATTCATCCCCTCTCGACCCTACCAAGATGGCGATCAACTTGCAGCGTGACGTAATTGCCTCTCGCCTTCTTAAAAAGCTCTGACAGCGGCGGCGCCTGTCGATGACGTCAGAGGGACTTTCCGGCTGGGGGGTAATGGTGAGCTGTGTAGCAATAAAGTTATTCACAGAGTGTCAACATCAACACGATGAGGTCTGAACGTCCTCAGAGGATTGGAGAAAAAACGCAAAATGTGTACCTAGCTGAGCTCTTGAGAGAAACGCGTTAGGAACGGGGGATACGCACTACGATGTCCGCCGCACGGCCCCCGCTCGGGAAGAGGCCGGCCGGCGAGGCGTCCTGCCGCGGCGCCCCGTCCGCAGAGAGGCAGCTGCCGGAGGCGCTCACCCTGGACGAGTTCACGGCGCCCGAAGACAGGCAGGAGGAGCTGAGGTGCGTCAGGCCGAGGGTAGAGCAGCTTTTCCGGGTGGTGTTCACCATCATCGGCCTGCTGGACCCGTCCCCAGCCCACGGCAGCCGAGCCGCCCGGCTGATCTGGGTGCAGCTCAGGGGGAAGAGAGCCGATGTAGCCCGGGCGAAGGTGAGTGAGCTGGGTCGCCCCGGGCCGGGGGGAGGCGGGGGGCGCTGCGCATTGCTGCGCCGCTGGGTTCCCGAGGGGAAGCGTAGTCAGGGTGGCGTGATTACAGAAAGCTGTCCGGAGCAGAGCGGCACCGTACCGCTGCCAGGTGTGGCGGACAGGAGCGATTGCACAACTCTCTCCCGCCCCACGGCAGGCACGGTGCCTTGCTCAAGGGACACGATTTCCGCTTCTGGCTGACGTCGGAAAACTGCCTCTACCCTCGTGTTGCGACAGCCGCAGTGTAGCGTAGCTGGGGCGATGTAGGTGACGCGACTCTTCTGTCGCCCTACGGCTTGAAGGCCACGGTGGCATCCGGCCAAGACAGCCAGCTAAGCCACCGCTGGTGACAGTGGGAGCGCAGTTATCTCCCAGTATCGGGCGTCAAGTGCGTGGGAGTGGGTGTGAGCGCGCGCTTATCTCTCGGTGTGTCACGCATCTTGAAGTTCGTGGTGAACCCGCCTCGGATCCCAATCCCAAGGCTAAAATTAGACGCGTTTCCTTCCTGTCTCTGACGGGTTTGTCGCGTATCTCTAAGAAAACCACCGAGTGTTATTGGAAATGACCGGGTTTGTCATTTCGCTTCTGCTGTGAAGTCAAAGCTTGCAGCCGCTCCAGCCGCCCCGGTTCCAGCCGGCATGGCCTCTGAGGGGGTCCGTCCTGCTGTCAGCCTGCTGCTGGCCCTGTGCGACTGCCCTGTGATGCCAGCGGCCGAGTTTCAGGTGTTTCACGGGGCAGGCCGGGTCGGGTGTCGAGAGAGCAGGGCAAGGAGGGAGCGAAAATAAACCTGGAAACTGTTGCTCTCAGTGCCAGTAAACTTCTCAACTCCCCCCCCCTCCAAAAAAAAAACAACAAAAGCAAGAGAGGGAAAACCCAGCGCCTGACAACTTCTTTTTTTTCCGCACCGGTCTTCACGCACTGGTAGCGGAATGAGGCAGCGCTCTGCCTGGGCCATAGTGAGGAAGTCATTGGTTGAAGTGCTAACTGCTGTAGAGTAAGCACTGCTGGGGAGAAAAATCCCTGCTTACCCTTTCCCCACTGGGCAGTTTTTTTATGCCGTTGTTTTTTGTTTTTTGTTTTGCTTCCTACCAGAACGGTTTTGGAGAGGCAGCAGCAGAGTAAAAAAAGTCACAAAGTCAGAAAGCCATGTCTGCCTGAGGCTTGCATTGGCTCTCCCTACTGAATGCTCGCGGCTGTCTGTTGAAGAACATAACATCTCTTTATTGGCCCTATACAATTTCTTGCATTAGGAATTTGTCTTTTCACAGACCCCAGCTTGCTCTCCATGAGACACACAGACAGGGAGAGAAGCTGGGGGTCAGAGCGCAGGATCAGCCCTTTGTACAGCGCCCCTGGAGCAGTTGGGGTGAAGGGCCTTGCTCAGGGGCCCAACGGAGTAGGATTCCTCTGCCGGCTGCGGGATTTGAACCAGCGACCTTCCAGTCACAGGAGCAGATCCTTAGCCACAGAGCCACCGCTCTGCATGACAGTGTAAATACAGAGTGACATCTTTCAACGCCGTCACACGATCCTGCCAGGGTACATGACACTGACGAGACTCCCGTGGCCTTGCAGCGCAGTCCATTTCAGATTTTCCCCCACGCTCCACTCAGAATGATAGTGTCAATGACGCCCAGGGGCTGGAACCTTGCAGCCTTTTGCCTGATTTGTTGTCAGTCTGGGTAGATGTGTTAATGTTTCAGGATGTTGCTTTCCTACAGCTCCAGAAATCATCCAGTAGTTTATTCCTGCTAATCCTCCATCCAGTTTTCTTACCGCTGCAGCCAGAGTCTATCCCAGCAAGCAAGGGGAGCAAGACGGTGGACACCCTGGCCAGCACACCAGACACGCACACTCACACCAGGGCAGTTTTACCCCAAGACACCTAACCTGCCAGCATGTTTTTGCCCTGTAGGGGGGAAACCCATGCAAACGCAGGGAGAACTTACAAACTCCACACAGACAGCACCCCAGGAATTGAACCCTGGGGCCCCAGTGAGGCAGCGATGCTCACCCCTGCGCCCACGTGCGCCCCTGTTCCTACTTAGATTTTCCTGTAAACAAGAGGCCTCTGTGTTGAAACACATCTCGGATCGCAGCTATGCTCTCAGTGTGAGTCGAGATGATGGGACTTGTGCTCCTTGAGTTTGCTTGATGGAGCAGCGCAGCTGAGAGAGCCGACGGGCAAAAAAAGCCTGACAGCTTGAAAAACAAAAATCCCCTCTGGCCTTCTATGGGGTCAGCTTTCTAGCTCTGCCTGGTAGCTTTAATGTTTGTTGTTGTTATGTTTTCCGTATGGTCCTGGAGCTTGGTTATTGATGTGGTCTGGTGGTTGTGTGGAGGGTTAGCCTGCGCTGTGCTGTCATGAATCAGTGTGTGACATCACAGACAGTAAGGACACCGCAGCGCCTCACGGAGCGCTGTCAGTGTGTGACATCACAGACAGTAAGGACACCACAGTGCGGCGCGGAGCGCTGTCAGTGTGTGACATCACAGACAGTAAGGACACCACAGCGCCGCGCGGAGCGCTGTCAGTGTGTGACATCACAGACAGGAAGGACACCACAGTGCGGCGCGGAGCGCTGTCAGTGTGTGACATCACAGACAGTAAGGACACCCCAGCGCGGCGCGGAGCGCTGTCAGTGTGTGACATCACAGACAGTA